TTGACATATTATCTAAAATTTTTGAAAAAATGAAACTACAAACGATTCTCAATATAAATCTTATTATTCTCAAAATATGAGCTTGTCAAATATAAAAAAAGCCAAAGGCTCTCTTTTGGATGGTACTTTATTTTTTACATTCATATCACAATATTTATTTTTTACCTAGTATTACCGCTGCTGTTTTAAATGTCTCAATCAAATAGACCACAAAGATTACGTACTAATGCGACTCAGGCATGCACAAATTGTAAAATGAGACGTCGAAGGTGTGAAAGACCTTCTGAAAGGGACGTTTGTGCATTCTGTAGAAGATATGGACTTAACTGTATCACTATCCCGGGTAGAAGACGCGGGCGAAGGCCTAGGTCTCCCAGAACTACCGAAGCTTTTTATTCTTTCGAAACTGTTATGTCATTCATTGGACAAGGACAAATACCAGATGGCGCGTCAATTAATTTTCATGAACCTTCACTTATTAACCAAGGAACTACTACTACACACCTCGGAACCTCACATACTTATAATAATATCGCTACTATTCCTTCTTTCGGTACCACTGATGTATTCATTGACCAAGGACAAACGTTAAATGACCAAAATACCGTACTAATTAACCCTTGTGACGCTTTTTTTGAAACTACCGGTACATTAATTGACCATGAACCAACACCAAATCATTCATATATTTATAATCATATCACTACTATTCCTTCTTTCGGAATTTCTGATGTATTCATTGGCCAAGGACAAACGTTAGATGACTCTTATGAATCTTTTTTGGGAACTACCGGAACACAAAATAATCAAAATACTACTACAATTCCTCCAACAACTACTACTACTGAAGAACTTCAATTCTTCTATCAAAATTTCGAAACCCTACATAATTATGATTATAATCTTCTGAGGGCTGCTAAAGCGACTGCCGAAGCATTTGCCGAAGCGACTGTCGATAGATTTATTGTTTATAATCGTAACCTTCTTTTGGAGACTGCCGAAGCATTGCTGACCTAGGATCATCAATTGACCCTTGTGAAAACTACTATTGAAGGACTGTTATCAATTTTCTGTCACCCGGTCATATGAAAACCCAATTTGATCAAGGATCTTGTGTTACTAAAATAAGCGAAAGCATGAAAAAAAAATCAAAACTCATAAATTTATAATGAAATCTATACTCCGACACTAATTTTACAAATAGTTAAGCCCTCTACCATAATCTTAAAACAAGCAAAAAGTATGAAAAAATTAAGGAATCAAAACATTTATAATGAAAACTAAACTTAGAAATTAATTTATATATAACTAAGCCATCTAACCATAAATTAAACTAGCCTTAAGTCTATTCATTTTTATAAAAATTTTATAATATCGGTAATATATTACTATGGATGAAAATTAGTTATAGTCGAGAATGGAAAATACTTTTAAAATTACGTAATATACAGAATAGATCAAAATTTTTATTTACAGCAATAAATTTCACAAATCCTATTTTGAGAATAATAAGATTTATATTGAGAATCGTTTGTAGTTTCATTTTTTCAAAAATTTTAGATAATATGTCAA